TTGGCTATATTTTTCGTAATATTTCTATACATTCTATTTACAATCATTTTAATTATTATAGATTTTACACATAATATGCGATATTCATTCTTTTTTTTACTTATAGTTATAATAATATCTATATTTACTTTGCTTAGATCAAATGTATTTGAGAAATAATCTTCTATATTTTCTGCTTATTTCAATTATTTATAAACATTCAATTCTTTTATTTTTACTTCTAATTTTAGAAAATACAATTTCTTCCTAAATATAACTATTTCTATAAATAATACTTATCCTTTATCTTTTCAATCTCTATAATAATATTTTTTATTTATTTCCTCCTGCTTAGGCTTTATTATTTTTACTGCCTACCAATCTCTCGTCTTCACTCGTTAAGATCGTAACGGGTCATTTACTAAGAAATGGGTCGTCCTCCTAAACCAAAGGAGATAAGACCTTCCTTATCATCAGATTATGTCCAACGTATTTCTGCTGAGCCCTGTTTTACAGAGGAATTGGAGACGGGGGCTTTTGAAGAAAGATGGATGGATGATTTGGATTTATTAGATAATGATCTTCCAGAAGATGTAGTTACTAGTGAATCGAAGAAAGATGATTCAAATGAGCTGGAATCTATTTTAAAGGAAGGCTATGTACCTTCTGGTAGCGGGGAAGGTGAAACAGAAATGATACCTATGCAATTGTTAAGATTAGGATGGGGATCGCTACAAGAATTTGATCCTGGTTTAAGTGATTCTAAGACAATGGAAAAGGCTTCACGTGATGTTATTTTAAAGAAGTATTTTCCAGAATTTCAGGAAAATGAGGTTCTTAAGTTTTGTGAGTTGTTTATTTCTAAAAAGGCATTTTTTGTTCCTGTTAAGCATAAAATAACCCGTAGTAAGTAGAATAGGTTAGATGATGCTCTATCTGATAAATATAAAAGCATGCTTTCCTTCATGGATAAGATTGGATGTGGAGCAGGATGATTCTCAAGCTTTCGCATCTTTTGATCGTTCAATACGGCCAAGATGGGATGACGAAGTTATATTTATCTCTTCATTTCCTGAGGAAGTAGATAAAGAAATAAAGTTCAATAAAGAGTCTTCGGATGCTTTTGTATTTTCTTCTGAAATATCCTATACGCCTGGCTAATACATTTCAGCATTCGTCTTCGTTAAATGAAATGAATCATGATCTGCATTTGACATGTTTCGATTGGTATAGAAAAGTTTTTTCAGATGAATTCTCGCCCAGTAAGAATGTGACGCTGGTTCGATCAAATTCAAAGATTAAGTTTATGGGCGAGGGATTTCTTTCTCAACTTCAAATTGATGACCGAATATTTAATGGAAATGTTGAGTTATCTTCACCTGTTCAGCTTAATTTTAATGATCCTTTTCTTCTTCTTGATATTCAGAGAGTAGATTCTAATTCTTATAAACATTTAACGAATGATCATTCTTTACATAATGATTTATCGAGACGATATAATATATCGAATGATGAAGCTTATGATATGTTACGTCAAAATCAGCAATCTCGTGTTCGTCAAACTCTTGGCCATTTGTCAATTGAGCATGGATTGGTTGCTGATCGATTACAGAGTCCTTATTATAAGACAAGGCTTTCAAAGATAGAATGCCGCTTATTTCATAGACCAGTGGTTACGTTTAAAATTGATCATGAAATTAGGTTTAGTAGAATTGGATCGCGAAAGAAAAAGAAGGATAGAATTAAGGATCCAAAGATATTACTGAACACAACTAAGGATGTTACTCTTAGTGATAATTCTACTTATGTATTGATGGAATATTCTGAAGAATATCCTTCTGTTATTTCTAATCCTGGCATGGCATCCAAAGTCGTTGTATTTTATCGTAAAAAATCAAATGAAGATTATACAAGACCAAAAATGACAATTGGTGAAACTCATATTTTAGAGCCTCAAGATCGTTCTCCTTTTTGGAACTTTGGAACAGTGGATCCTGGAGAGACGGTACTTGCTTTGTATAATAAGATGATACGTGCTCCAATTTTTGCTCATGAACCACAAAGTACTGATTTTTTAGTTATACGGTAAAACATTTCACTTTGATAGTTCACAATTAATTATTTTAGAAATACTTGTTCACAGGGATCAAGATATTATCTTCGTAATATAAAATATTTATATGTAATTGGTCAAACATTTCCTGTAGTTGATGTTCCTGGCCCCCATTCAAGAAAAATAACAATGGTTAGTAAAAACAGGCTTAAAATGATCTGTTTTCGTCTTTTACGTCGTGAAGAATCTGGGAAAATTCTTATTAAACAGATGGCACATCATTTTCCTGATCAAAATGAAATGCAACTTAGACAACGCCTTAAGGTTTGATTTTATTTTATTTATTTAATATCTTATTTTTATTAAGGAATTTATGGATTTTCAAAGGAAAGGTGATGATCAAGGATATTGGAGATTAAAGTCTTCTGAAGTTCTTCCTTCTGAAGTTGTTATTCGTAGTATGGTTTCTCCTGAAATGGTATGTCTTATCGAAAGTATGCAAGTTGGTCTTCAGAATCTTGAAGATGCTGGATACGGGCGAGCTGTAGAAGATGAAAATATGGATGAAACGTGTTTAAGCATTGATCAACAATTAGTCCCTTGGATTTTAACAAGAAACTTTATTAATGCTACTCAGGGGAGAGCTATGTTAAAATTGCATGGTGAAGGAGATCCAACAGGCTGCGGCCAAGGTTTTAGTTTTATAAGAACGTCAATGAAAGGGGGATTTAAATCATTGGATGAAACAATGGATGAAAAAAACGATGGAGATAAATCAAAAACAACTCATGGATATAATATAGCTAAGCAGTCAAAAGCTTATGAAGATGAGATTGCGAGAATTTGGAAATCTCAGCGTATTGGATTAAGCATGACTGAGGATTCAATTACGAATGATCCAGAATATATAGATTCTCAAAAAGAATCTTCTAGCGATAATAAAATAGATAATGGATGGTACGTTTCCACTCCACAATCTACTGATTTGATTGAAAATGATAATTATATATCTATGAATTCGCAAATGAGTTCTGGTCAAATTAATAAAGTTCTAAGAATTCAAAGATTTATTCGAAATTCTTCTGGACAGTTAGAAAGAAAAGTAGAGATCGTTCATAATATTAATGTTATACGAGCATATATTAGACATAGACAGTTGATTGATGATGAAGCTACAATGATGGAAAAAATGGGACCTACTGACGATGATGAAGCAAATAGAAGGCGTAAGAAATTATTAGAAGAACAATTGATACGATTAAAGCATAATCATGAAAGAAGGCAGGCTCGAAAAGCTGCTAAGGCTGCTCAAAAAGCTGAAGCATCAGTTTTGTATGAAGCATCTTTACCAAATACAAAGAAAAATGCTTCAAGTACTAGTAGGCGCTGTGGAAATTGTGGTGTGTTTTATTATTTTTTATATATCATATTAAATTTTTTTAGGACAAGTTGGTCATATGAAGGTTTTTTTTGTATATTTATGATATATTGTGTTTAACTTATTTAGACATGGAGAGGATGTCCTATGCATGGAAATACTGTATATAATACTTCTGGCTTTTCTGATGACGAACAATAATATCATTTTAAACGATATATTGTATTAATATAAATATTAGAAAAATTTTTTATAGATATTTACTTGGATGAGTATAATTCTTATTATGTTTGATGATATCCTTGGTTTTGAACATTATCTTATTATTATTTCATTTGTTTTAATTATATTTTGATTAAAGGCGATATATAATCGATGATTCATAGATCTAGAAATATCTTTGGTTTATTTATAAAATGATAGAAATAGGGAAATATAGTTTAGTATTTTTGATATTACTATGTGGTCTAGTTTAAAGCGACAATTAAGTGCAGCTCTGCGTGGCGAAGATGAGGAGAGAAGTAGAACTCATGGTAATATAAAGAAAATAACATAAACCTTATAATTAATATATTATAGGATTTCATGTTCTACGAGTTGCTGAAGGATCTGTTGCAGATAAAGCAGGCATTGAGAGTTATTATGATTTTATATGCGAAGTAGATGGAGTAGAACTGACTGAAGATTTTGGATGGCTTTCTGCATATCTTTCAGGTGCTGATCGACCTCTTCGCGTAGTAATTTGGTCATTAAAAGATCGGATGGAGAGATGTATTCTTCTTTTACCCTCAGAACATTTTGGTTTATCATTACGTTGGTGTTCAATAGGTGTTGCTCAAAAAGTAGTATGGCATGTTTTGAGTATTGAAGCTGGATCCCCTGCAGAAGTTGCTGGACTCTTTCCTTATGATGACTATATTGTTGGTACACCAGACTGTCTTCTTCGTAGTGAGTCTGATCTGGGAACATTAATTGATAATGTATGCAAAGATTATAAAATATTTTTTTTAACATAAGTAAAGTGTATGAACCAGTCTTTAAGTTTATATGTTTATAATAGACATCGTGAAACAACGCGTTTAGTAATACTTATGCCTAATAGAAAATGGGGAGGTTCTGGTGCACTTGGATGTGGTTTAGGTTATGGATATCTTCATAGATTACCCGGTATAACTCGAAAAAAGATTGAGCCTGCATCTAAGATTTCGGAAACATTTGTATATGAAGAATTGCAGGATAGATTTGGAATTCCACTTACTGAAACTGAAAAAATGTTAGGAGTTCCATCAAATTCTCAATTAACCCCACAAACTAAATTGAAGACAAAATCTCGGAAAACGAATAAAGTCTTTGATGATGAAATTCTTGAATTAATGAGAGAAGGTGAAGAAAAAAGTCAGGAAATAGAAAGAAAGGTGGTATCCGTTCCCCCTCAACCTGTTTCTCAGGAAACTACTGATTAAAAAGGTTATCATTCCATATTTACAATGCTTATATCATATTTATTTTATTTGGTACAAACGTTTATTTATATATACATTATTTTATATATCTTATATTACTGCTTATCGATGCAAAGTTTTGCACGATTTATTGAGAGCTGTTTTTGATTATGCATCGGTTTATTGGCCGTCCAATGATGCGTGCAAACGCACGCTTTATGATGAGATGTGTATCAAGGAGTTTAACATCTCATGTTATGCCAATATCTGATCTTCAAGCTGTTTTTGATCGGATTAAACCAGGACAATCTCTTCAGAGTACAAGTCTGGTCGAAAATAAGGGAGGGTTATTTAGGAATACGGGTGTAATTGTTCCAAATGACTTGGTTTCCCTGACTAGACATACGTTAGAAAATGCTCAGTTGTTATCGGATGATATTGCTCAACGTCAAGTTCAGAACGTAGAAGATGCACGTAGAATCATTAAAGATTTAGATAGATTGAGTGATAGACTTTGCAGAGTGATTGATCTTTCCGAATTATTAAGAACAGTTCATCCAGATAAAGAATTTGTAGCGGCAGCAGAGGAGGCATATCATTATATGTACGATTTTATGAATATATTAAATACACATAGAGGACTTTATAAGGTGAATTTTCTAGGATTTTTGGGAGGTGATTGATATGAAGAAAAGGTATTAACACGGATTCTTGAAAATGGTAGTATTGTTAAGGAATTGACAGAAGAAGAAAGAGTAGTTGCGAAAGGGTTTCATCATGATTTTGAAAAATCGGGAATAAATTTATCAAGTGAAAAACGAAAGAACTTTGTTGATATTTCAAGTCGTATTGCTTTATTAGGGCGTCATTTTTTTAGTGATTATGGTCTTAAAGAAAATTACATTGATATTCCATCTTATTTGTTAAACGATCTTCCATCAGATGTATTATCCATGCTTAAAAGAGGAGATGGATCGAATCTTAAGTTTCCTACTTCAGGATGGATATATCAGATGGGAATGGCATTGATTTCCGATCAAAATGTAAGAAAACGTTTATATATTTCTGGACAAGAATCAAAGAAATCTAAAATCTTAAATTTGGAAAATCTTCTTAGAGAAAGAGCGGAATTAGCGCGACTTGTTGGCATGGAAAGCTATGCTGAATTAGCGTTACTTGATAAAATGATGAAAAATCAAATGTTTGTGCTAGAGTTCTTAGAATGCCTTGCAAAAAATAACATGCCTATTGCAAAAAAAGAGCTGGAACCTCTTTTAATTAGTAAAAGGATTCATCTTTCTGATTCTAATATATCTTTTCTTAATGCTTGGGATAAAGATTTTTATTTAAATTTAGAGAAGAAATGCTCGACTTTTTTTGAAAAAGATTCAATTATGTCATATTTTTCAATTGGAACTGTTATTCAGGGTCTTTCAACCTTGTTTACAAAACTTTATGGTATATGGTTTGTTCAATCTGAAGTTTATCCTGGAGAGATATGGTATCCGACTGTTAGAAAACTAGATGTATTTTCAGAGGAGGGCCATATAGGTGTTATTTATTTCGACTTATTTTCAAGGCCTGGAAAGCAAAGTGGTGCTGCGCATTATACAGTGCGCTGTTCTCGTAGAATAGATGATGACGTTTTAGTAAAAAGAGAAACATGTTTTGAATATTGCAATAATCCAGTTCTTAAGAGTTATGGAAAGTTATATCAACTTCCAATTATTGTTTTAGTATGTGATTTTGGACAAATCACTGATAAAGGTCCTACTTTATTGTCTTTTTCTGAGTTGGAGACGTTATTTCATGAGATGGGCCATGCACTTCATTGTATGTATTTTTTATTTGTAGATAGTATTTTAATCTTTTAGCTATGCTAGGACGTACTGATTTTCATAATGTTTCTGGAACACGTTGTGCGACTGATTTTGTTGAGCTTCCTTCTGTACTTATGGAACATTTTGCTTCTGATATTTCTATAACACCTACTTTCGCTCGACATGCAGTAAATAATTCATTCTTGTCCCCTGAATATTTTGGTAATTATATTAAAAATCATTTTAAGATGCAAACAGTTGAAACACACTCTCAAATTATAATGGCATTTTTGGATCAACAATATCATACATCTGCTCCTTTAGATAAAGAATTTGATTCTACAAAGATATTATATTCTTTACAAGATAAATGGGGTTTGTTTCCATCAGTTCCTGGTACATCTTGGCAAACACAATTTACTCACTTATTTGGATATGGTGCTACTTACTATTCATATCTTTTTGATCGTGCTATTGCTGCAAAAGTTTGGAAGGATATATTTGCCAAAAATCCTACGTCTCGTGTTGCAGGAGAAAAGTATTATAAAGAGGTCTTGAAATGGGGTGGAAGTCGAAATCCATGGGAATGTCTTGCTTTTTTGTTAAATGATGAAACTTTGGCAAATGGAGGGTTAGATGCAGTTAGAAAAGTAGGTCATTGGGTATTGAATAAATAAAATGATTGAATATATACAAAACTTTAATTATATCATATCATATATGTGATTATTGGGCTAAAGGACCAAAATAACAGCATATTGCTTTTGTTTTTCCAGATGCCTTTAAATAATGTGCTTCTACTTTATGCGGGCATCTAATTAAGCTTGTTATCTAGGAATGTTAGAAACTAATTTTTTTATATATTTCTTTTTACCGAGGCTAAAGATGAAGTACGTGGTAGATACATAACGATCTTGTTGCTGTTATTTACCATATGATTTGCTGCATGAAATAATAAAGAACTTATTTCATTAGTAATAACCGATAAAATTAGAAAATATACGCAGGATAAGGTTTCATAGCTTCTATATTGAATACCTCTGAATTTTGATAATCTGGTCCACCTGCATCATTCACATTAATATTATTAGCGATTAAATGTATAATACCCCATGGTGGACTTAAAAAAATAATATCCCCCTTGTAAATTATTATTTAAATCTTATATAAATTAAAATATACTTTTATTTTTTTCGAGATATTAAAGAAATCTGCAAGAATCCATATAATTTTATGTTCCACATTATATATTCGTGCATTATGTTTTGCACATATAAGTTTTATTGGATCATCATCAATTGCAATGACTAAAAATGTTTAAATATTAATAATAATAATAAAAGATATACCTGCTATCTTGTCAATCAATGCGAATTGTATAGCATTTCCTCCAGCACCACAAAAACCATCAATTACAACAAAGTTGCGGTCATGCATTTTCGATAAATGTGTTGCAATTTGACGTCCTAGTGGTTCTGGTGTGACACTATACCAAGACTCCTCATCAAGCCATATTCCTCTATCGAAATATTTAAAAAGCCGATGTCTTTGATGCCAATATCTTCTTTGTCTTAGGTTTTTTTAAAAATAGTTTCTATTTTTACTTGTTTAATTTTGATGGAAAGTTAGATCGACTATGACGAACAATAGTTTGTTTAATAATAATATAAGATTCCCCATATTCGTCATATTTAATGGATGCTCCTGCATCAATTTCTTCTTGTCTTAATTTTTCTGGTTTTTGATTGCGTTTTTTCATGGATCAAAATTGTCGAATATATTGAATGTTAAGAGATATAAATTATAAATAATAGATATATTAAAATATTATTAGCAGTATATCTAGAATATTTTCATTAGAATTGCGTAAAAATATATGTGTAGTGGATTATGAAAAATTAAAATGAAGATTGCTTTGTAGATTAGAATGAATAGTAATTTTTTGTAAATAATTGATAATAAAAAATATAGTACAAATTAGATTTTAATAAATAATAAAATGAATTTAGATAGTAAAATCGAAGTCCTTAAAATGTTTTTTAAATTGATTTGAATCCTGGGATTCTTGTTCATTTGTTTGAACACAATTTTTCCAATCACTTCTTTCTTCTAAATTGAGAACTTTTGATATGACATGTCGTGCAAATTTTAGATCAAAATATGTTTCTGGTTTTATTATGTGAACTAAAATAGTGTTGTTGGGCAACCAAATACGAAGATAGTTTTCTTCTTCCTTTTTAATGTCTCTTTTTTCAAAATTGTATTTCTTTTCATTACCCATGGAAACAAAAGTATTTTCTAATTCATCTGATAGATTTTTTTTTATTGGAATTACTTGCCGATGTAAGTGAATACCATTTATTCTGCTTATTTCAAAAGCTACTGTGTCACATCCTTTAGATTTAAACATTTCATTGATAGAGATCCGATATCTTCTATTGTTAGGGATAAAATAATAAGCAAGATACTTACCTTTCCATTTCTTCCCTAGTTTTATCTCTGTTTACTTCTTCAATAGCGTTAATTGTAGGAACATGTGCAATAGGAATGATTAAAACATGTCCTGGAAATGAAAGAGAAGGCAAATTAGTAGAACTTGTTGTTAAAGGGCCCTTTGGGAGTGCAAGATATGTTTCTGATCCTATAGAGGTAATTAAATGTTGAGCAATTCTTGGATCTGAAAGGCAGAAAAAACAAAACTCCACTAATTTGTTAGCTATGTTTTGATAAGAAGAAAAAAATACATTTAGGATGATTATAAATATGTTTTCTTGAACCAGTAGCCTTTTTTTGTGGACAATTCTAATTAATAAATAAGTGAATACTTGTAATTAATTTTTACCTGAATCCAATGACCTTTTTGCATGCATATTTTACAAGTATAATTGGGAGGAATAGTATTTTCTTTTTCGTATCTTTTTTTGTTTAATTTTGACGAATTAGAAATTAAATGATCTGTTTTATTATGAATTTCTTCAAAGTTAATAAATATTTAAAAAAAAGTGCATACATACGAGTACAGTCTTTCGGGACCTGATTAGAATCCACTTCTTTTTCCTCTTCTTTACTTTAAAATATTAAAAATGAGATATTAAAATTATGAAATTTACGTAATATGATCATATGATTTAGATATTTCAGTATCATGTTTCTGCTTTTTAATACTATTAGAAGATTCTCCTTTATTCCAGAAAAAGGTATATTGTGAATCCTCAAGATTATGCTTTATTCCTTTAGAATCTGTATTTATTTCTTCTGTAAAAGGATTTTGTGTAACATTTGGTATATTTAACGCATTTGATGTATTATATGAATTTGATGCAGTAATATTAAAAGCCTGACTTGCATTAAATAAATTTAAAATCTTTAAAAGACCTTACATAAGAAGACTAAAATAATGTTAATTTTTTTATATTATTGATAATATATAGTATACCCTTTCTTTGTCTGGGTTATCTAATGAGCCTAATGATATAAATCTTGTAATATTTGTTTTTTGTTTATCTTCAATAGAAATACTTTTGTAAGGCTCTCTTTCATAAAATATTGAGCCGTTTGATGAGAAATGATATTTAGGTTGGATATATGATGTTACTTTAGTTATAAATTGAACTCCAGGAATCGTTTTCGACATCTTTTTGCATGAAAATTTATGTATGTCTTTAGGCCATTCAAATGTAACAAGAATATCCGAATTTTTCCCCCTTTTTATAATACCATCTATTTCATTTTCATAAATATATGGCTTCATTTCAGTATTCTATTTGTATAATTAAAAAATCGAAAATTTAAATCAGATTGATTACTTCTGGCAATACTTTGCAATAAAATTGCTCTTCTTCATACTTTTATTTTTAGCTTATTTTAAGCAATTATCAATTAATTAATATACCATTCCTCCTAAACATGATATTTTAATTCCTTTTGATGTTGTTAAAGTCCCTGATTTCCCTAGATATATTAATATATTTTTAATATCTATTTTTTTTGTACCTATATAAAATAAGTTTTTACATATTTCCCCATTATTTCTAATTGCTTTTTCTTCAACTCTTTTATGAAGACGCTCTTTACCGATTGAAAAATATGTTGTTATTGGAACTAATTCCCTTAAATAATATAAAAATATAAACCCCAATTACTGTTTATTCTCCCCTCAACTAGATCTATGATTTCTAGTTCATCCGTCCCTGATTCTGGAAGAAAATCTCCTATGCAAAATAAAAAATCAAAGTTATGTTTCTTGTTCAAATCATGTGTTTTTTCAAAAATCTTTTTAAAATTCCCATCCGATGACCCAAAAAATAGTCTTTTCTATATAAGATAGTGTGCTTATTTAATTAGTCATCTCTTACACTTTACTTGTATTATGATCCATACTAAAATAAATATCGAAATTTTTTGACGATCACACAGGATGGGCCAAAAGTCAAAGAAAACTAAGACAATTCATGAAAATAGACTATCTGAAAAATATATTGATTCTATATTTTCTGAATTTCCCTTAAATTCAAATGGTAAAGATAAAGAAGAAGAAATATTAGAAGCGAAAGTTTTTGGAAATAATAATTCATTTAATGAAGAATTAAAGAGTTCATTGTTAAATATATCTGATGTAGATGATTCTGTATCTTTGGATGATAAGACAGTTGATTTTTCTTTGCTTCAGGACCATGAGGTTTGTTTTTAGGTATTTAGTTTTATATTGATGTAAATATGGTAGCTTTTTTATGTTGATACGTCTATTTCTCAGAAGGAATTGCCTGATAGTTTAGATAAAATAGTGGCCTTGCAGATAGATGAGGAGAAATCTGCATGGGAAGATAGTGATGATGAAAGATTGTTAATTTCTTTAGCATCTGTAGGAAGATTACGAAAATTAAGAGAATCGGAAAAAGATGATATAATTAATGGCAAGGAATATAATATTCGTTTGAGAAAACAGTTATTTTGTTTGTAAATTGTAAATATTATATTTATTTTTTATAGATTTGAAAGGATAAATCCTGTTCCAGAATGGGCAGTTTTATCTAAATCTTTAAATGATGGGAATTTAAAGCAAAATGGAGATATTAATGATGATGATTCTGATAATCCTTATTTTTTAAATGATGCTTCGATATCTAAAAAATCATTAAGGTCATTACTTGAATCTTCAGAAGGTTATATTAGAAAAACATTATCAGTATTACCTCCTACGACCATTAATATAAAAAGATTAAAAGATGCTAATTTTTGTTCTCCGTCTGAAGTATTTATATTACACTATTTTTGTTAAATTTGCTAATTGGATTGAAGTCTGCAATTTTATCATTATCTTTTCATCCATTTTATCCTTTGTTATTGTCAGGAGGACATGATCGTATTTTAAAGTTATTTCATATTGATAAGGATGTTAATCCGCTTGTTTCATCTTTATATCTTCATTCATCTTCTATTCAAACAGCAACTTTTCATCCCAATAGTAATAAAATAATTGTAGGTGGTCAAAGAAAATATTTTTATATTTGGGATCTTGAAAGTGGAAACATTAGCAAGGTTAGTAGGACTTATGGTCATGATGATATTCAAACAAGCATGGAAAAAATTTCAGTTAGTCCTTGCGGAAATTTTATTGGTATTGTTGGGAATAAAGGATGGTTTAATATATTGTCTGCTGGAACTGGACAATGGATTACCGGTTTTAAAATAGAAGGTGAAATTAGTGATGTTTCTTGGCTACGGTCTGGTGAAGGAATATGTGTTTCTAATAGATATGGTGGAATATGGGAATGGAATATTTTATCACAAAAAGTTATCTCAAAATGGAATAACGAGAGTTGCTATGGTATTACTAAATTATCTTTGGGTGGCTTTGATGATAGATGGTTTGCAGTTGGGTTAGTATTATACTATTATATTTAATAAAATTGATCGATGTAGGAGTAATATTGGTATTGTTAATGTGTATGATAGAAGAAATCTTTCAGGAGAATTGAATAATCCATCTCTATATAAAACGTTAGATAATTTGACGACACCTATAAATACATTGGAATTTTCATCAGACGGGCAAATATTGGCTATGGCAAGTAAGGAAAAGCGTGATTCTCTTAGATTAGTGCATTTTCCAACTGGATCTGTTTATAAAAATTGGCCAACCGGCTCTACACCTCTTGGAAATGTTACTGTAACTAAGTTTTCTCCATCGGGAAGCGAAATAGCTATTGGAAATAAAGGTGGAAAAATAGGATTGTGGCATTTTGCATATTATTCATGATTCAATAATTTTCATAGGTTTTAGGGAATGTATTTTAAACATTTATCAATAATATTTGAGGAATATATAGTTAAAGTGTGTAATAATAAATTATATTTTGGGCATTTATAAATTTATAAAAATGAATAATATATATTATATTTTTTAGTATAATAAATAAAAAATTGGGAATTTTTTGAATTAGATATGAATAAATTCGCCCTTTTTTTTTCTTTGCGTAGTTATAGCAGCGATAATAGCTAAAATAATGATAAAAATAGTTTTATTATAAAATAGCAAACCTGCACCAACGCCGCTTCCATCTTGTGCAGCGACTAGTCTAATCTTGTCTCCTTCATTCATATTAGGAATGGTTTTAATAAATAAAATAATTTACCATATGACTCAAGTATACATTTTAATGCTTCGCAAACTTTTTTCTTAAAACCAGGATATTTATTTATTACACTACCATCTACACCTACAGAACATTCCTAAAAAAAATTAATAATAAATAAATAAAAGAGTATTATAACCTTAATATCTTTTTTTTTACAAATTGCTGCTATTCCACAAGCAGACAGATATGCAGATCGCTTTGCTATCAATTCTGTAATTTTTTTAATAATTCTCCTTTCAAATAATGTGCATTCTATATTGAATTGTGTTTTGAAAAGCCTAAAAACATAAGGTATGATAACAATATTTTAATGTTTAACTTATATGTCTCTATAAGATCTTCATGAGTATCGCTATTTTTTTTAGGAAAAGCTTAATTGGAATTTCTACTTACAGTTCAATAATACTTAAATATGATGTTTCAAGAGAATACGGATACTTTAACATTTTAAGGCATTGTTCTTTAAAAAACTTTTTTTTTTCATATAAATCCAATAAAACTTGCCTTAGAATTTCTCCTAGATAAAACCCGGATACCATTTTTTCAAATGTTTGTTGTCCTGGATATATAGATTCTAAATCAAGTTGAATATCATACTTCGTACGTGGAAGAACGAGATGCTCATTATCAAATGAACCTACATTATTTAAGAGGAATATAAATATTTAAACAATATTACCCCATTCGCAGTTTATAGCTATATGAAGATCCGGAGGCAGATTTAGATGTTGAATTTTTGGAATGTATTTTACTTGTTCCATGTATGCTGCTATAAAAGATATTAATAATCATATTTTTACTATGATTTTTATACCGTTAGATCCTTTATATTGTTAGATGTGAAAATACTTAATTTGTTATTAAAATTTACCTGTACCAAAAATTACGCCAAGTTTTGTTGTATTGTCGACATAATTTGAAGCTATTAAAGTACCAGTAGTATCATTTACTAAAGCAGCAACCTTTACAGGGATATTCTATAAATTTATTAAAAGCTTATAAATATAGAGTCGATATATACTTCTTTCTCAATTGCTTTCATAAGGATTTCTACAACGTCATGACCTTCGACACCTTTTATATCGAATTCTTTTGTCCAACGTATGAGAATTCCTTGATCAATTCTGTCTTGGCTGAGATAATTAGGATCTCTGATGCTTTAATTTCTTTGTATATTACATGCATGGATATGAAAAAGTAAACCCTAGTATTATGTCTTTCTTAATTTCATGATGTTCTCTCAAAAAATCTTTAAGACATTTCGCTATAAATCCGAAAAACACGTCTGAATTACTTTTCTTTAATTCTGGAGACTATATTTTTGATTATGATTATTTTCTATATATATCTGCGACATACGATGTTATAATTTGATTGTACGATATCAAAATTTCTTTTTCCGTATAAATCAATTTTACATAATCTAAAATTAGTACCACCTGAAAATGATCAAGTAAAAGCTAAATATCTTCTTTAAGATTACCTATATCAAGCGCTAAATAGGTGCCTTGTTCGTCTCCATTGGCGTATCCTAAAACCCATGTGGGAAACATAGGCTTAGATATATTAAAACTTTGTATAGAATCATCTGAATACATACAATTGTTCCTCCATTTTTCGATAATCCTATGAAATTATCGACTTAATTATATTTTTTAATTTAATTTACCTTTCTCTAATTGTTCAACAAATTTATCTACAATATGATTTAATTTCTCCTTGTTTATAACAAACATCTCCAGTTCGTTTATTTCTTCTAATATTTCACTAGGTATACTAAATAAATATTAAATCTTAGTTATATGTTCTAAAATATTAATATACCCTTCTATAGGATCCATCTTGATTATTTTTTCATCAATCAATATAAAAATTCTCTTATTATTCAAATACGGATAATATTTATGTATAGTTTATCCGTTTTTTTTAAGTTTTCTATTCTTTTTAATTTTTTCCTAATGATTTATAACTATATTTTAGAGTTATGATCACGTGAGTCATGCCATTAGATTTAATTTATTAAATATATAATATAACAATAAAAATAAATATATAACACAGTAATAAATACAAATAATAGTATAATAAAACATATAGATAGTTATTATTATTTAGAGATTATATATAGTAATTTTTTTCTGTAAAAAAATGTATTTATTGCATGATTTATTATAGATATATACAATGCTATTCAATATTATATTCTCGCTTAAGTTTTTCAAGATTGGCTTGTCTTAACGCGATATCTTCAGCTGTATCTGTTTTTCCGGATATTTTTTCAGGTTGATGATAAAGTACTGTAAGATATCGATCTGAAAAATTGAAGCCGTTGAGTTTCTCGCATGCCATTTTTGCATCATTATAATCAATATAGACAACATATGCAGTTCCACGTGTTGTATTATCATTTCCTCTATTTCTTTTAGAATTTAATTTTAAATACATGTATATATATATATATATGTTTTTAGAGAATGCAATGAATTGCAATATCAAAATTGCAAATTTTATAAGAGTAATATGTACTTACAATCGAATTTGCCTGTATATTCATCAAACTTGATGTTTCTAATATTTAAAAATAATTTTATTTCATACCTTATTGGACCAAATTTTCCAAAAAGATCGAAAAGTTCTTCTGTAGATACTTTAAAACTTAAATTTTTCACATAAAGTACAGGAAGTTGAGGTGTTTTTGACTGTCTTGATATATGTGACATTTTCTAAATCTTTATTGTTAAAATTAATAAATTTTTAGCATTTATTTTTACCTAAATGAAAAATAATAAATAGTCTTTTCCTTATTTCTGAGTATTTAAAAAGTATATATATATACTAGTTTCTTTATATGTTCTGGTGTATAATCTTTTTATCTTTTTTGAGTATAAATTAAAATAAAGTTGATATTTAAATATTTTGAAATTTTAATGGAATTCGATTAATTTCAAAAAAAAATAGAAAAAAAATATAGTATTTTTAATATATATATAATATTATTTTACATTTTTTGGACTCTCATTCTTGAATTTTAATTTTAACTTTCTTTAATAATGATGAACCAAGAAATAGTACACCAAAAGCTATAGAAATCGTTAAAGGCTTTCTAAAATTATTCCATAATGAATAATCATATAATACCTAAAATATTTTAGAAAATAAAGATAAAACTAAACCAGAAAATACAAAAATTTCTTCTGATGATATCGTATCAATTAAATTTGTAGCAAATAGTTTTATTGATGTTCTTCCTACAACGTCCATATATGTCTTATATGTTGATATCTCACTTTTAGAAATAGGGATACGTGAAACAACGTTCAAAACCCTTAAGATGATTAAGAAAAAATTCTTTGTACATGTATAATTACCTAGATCCTTCTGGTAGAATTATATTCACTGATATATTTCTATAATAAACATCTTTAGGTCCATCCACAAAAGGTATTTTTAAAATATATAAGTTATTGTTTTTTTTTCTTAAAAAATTGTTTAGGTTCATATCCCACCCAATTGTACATGAATAATTCCATCCACCAAAAATTGGATATCTAGGATTGATTTTAATATTTGTATTTTTTGAATTTGATATAAATTCTCCTGTATAAACAACTCCGACATCATCAATGTGATAAGTGTTTCTAGCCTCGGTTTTAAGATTGATCTGTAGTGAAGATATCGCCGCATGAAATGCTCTATAATATAATTGATATACCCATTTTAAACGTGAAAAATTTTCTTTAAGTCTATTTGTTTTAGACATATATAAAATTTTATACTTTTAATACCTTGGACCTGCGTTTGTTATTGAGTAAGTATTTCTTACTGCAATGTTATTACCCCAATGGGATATTTCTGCTTCACGTTTTAAGTGTTTTATAACAATAATGGGTTTTTCATATGTATAATGAATATAAATAGGTTCTTTATTAAATGGCTCAACAATATCGGGGAAGTTATAAATAAGATGTGACTTTAATAATATTGGATTTGTTGAATTGCCTTCGTGGTATTGAGAATATGATAAAATATTATTAGCATTGATTCTAGTTTAGAATTAACTATCATATATAATAAAATTCTATGATGTTACTTAAAATTTATTCTTTGTTTTTTTGTAGGATAAATTGACAAAGAATATTTTAATCCTTCCCATTTAAGATTCTGAGCTTGATCTTGAGGAATTACATCAGGAAATGGTTTCAATGTATCTATTATAGCTATATCTATCTGTATAGTTATTGATTTCAGAGGGGGGACTGGTTTAGACAATTTTATGGTATATAATTTGACATCACTAGATATGTAAGAATTTTTAATGCTATAATTATTTTTTACTTAAAAGTATTTTCCCTTGAAGGAGTTACGTTAATAAATAAATTTTTTTCATTTTCTTTTGCCTTAATATAGCTGATCTTATTTATTATATTATTATCAATGATCCAAAAATATTCATCTAAAGGAGTATTTCCTATATTTTGAATAACAATTGTGGATTTTTCTTCAATATAAGATTTTGAAAAATCAATATTTCGATTTCTATCTATATGAATAGTGGAATAGAAATTTCATGTGTTTTATACATATTTAGATTTTCCCATGAGTTATCTGTTTTTATTTCTTTTTGACTAGCTTCACTTCCTAGAGACGCTAGCAATAACATACAAATCCATGATACTTTCATGATTGTATGATATTAAAATGTTTACACTTATAATTTATAGCAAAAAAATTAAATAAGTTATCTCGAAAGCTAAATTATACATATAATAATGTTGAAATACAAAATACTGAAAAATGAAATATTAAAAAAAAAACTTTCTCTTAGAAATTCATATACTCTTTTATTATATTTTTAATTAAGATATTTTATAAAATTGAAAATTTATTTTATTATTAGATAATAGTATACTGTTTATTAAATCTTATAGATAAAAAAATTCTATTATTTAAAGAGTTAATGACATTATTTGGAAAATATTTTTCATTTTTATATTTTTTTGATAAAAAATATTATATTAATTTTGCTATAAAATATTATATTAATTTTGCTATAAAATATTGATTAAAATATTGATATTAAGGATTTTGGAAAAATGTGTTTAAAATGTTTGAATAAAAATGAAAATAATTAAGAGCTATTATAAAATGATATCGATTTTTTACGTTAGTTTTAAGATGATCTAATATATTAATTAAAATGTAATATTTAAATTTAAATATTAGTAAAAAAAATAGTGTTTTTGTAACAATGATATTTTATACAATCTATAGTAAGCTAAATTGTTATTAATTGAACAAATGGCTTTTTGTATAACTTTGGAGCGCTAAACTATTTATTTTTAGTGCATATTGTTTATTTTAGTGATTTAGACGGTTTCTTTAGAAATTTATAGAGTAATTTTTTAATATTAAAACTGTAAATTTCATTAGAAGTTTTTGGAAGTTTAGTTAATTGTAGATTAAAAAAATGTTTTGATTTTTTGATTTTTATTTTTGCACTTATGTTCGCTATATTTTAAGATTTAACTATATTTTATTTTTTTAATATAAAAATATTGCATGTTAGTTTGTTTAATATTTTGCTTGCATTTCAGTTTTTATTAGTAAATATGAATATAGTTTATTCCTAAATTTAGGAAGCATTTTGTTTATTTTTATGTTTTAAATGAAATTATATTAAAAAAATGGTTTATTAAAGAAATTTTTTTGAAAGTATAGTATTTTATAGTTGTATAAATATTTTTTAAAGTTTAAAAACACTAAATATCAAAAGCACAAAGGATATTAATCGAAAAAAATTATAAATAAATTTTTGGTTAATGATCTGAATAAGAATTTGGTAGTATTTATTTAATGTTAAATATAAAATTGTTATAAGAAAAATTTGGATAAAATGAACTATATTTAATAGTTTTTTTTATGTTATAATATAATGTTTAAAAGAAAGTAAATATGTTAATTTTAGGAGTATTATTTTTTGCTTCCATAAGAAATCAAATGATATTTTTATGTTATTTTTTTTGTATTTTTAAAATAAATGATATATATCAATTATTTAATAAATATGAATTAATAGAGTTTGATTTGGTGAAATTTTATTGAATTTTCAGAAATTAGGAATAATGAAAAATTATAAATTTAAGAGTTAATTTTGATATTATTAATTCATTTTTTAGATTTAAATAATTTATTTTCTAAGCTTTTTGATCTTTTTAAGAAAATGTATAATATCAAAACTATTTTCGGTAAATATTTAATAAGTTATCTATTTTTTCTATATTTTTATAACTTTGCAAATAAACATTGATAATGTTAATAACGTTTCATTTGAATATGTTTTAATAAATTAATTAGAATAATAGCTATTAAAAAAAAAAGAAATAAATTGAAAAAATTAATCGGAGATTGTATTTGTATTAAAAGATTCTATATTTATAATGCAGGTTATTTTAAAAAAATGCTTATCAACACTTTTTAATTTAAGAAAAAAGACTGTAATATTTCTTTTCTATTTCTAAATGTATCAAGAATGTTTCGCTGGAGAATATTGTTTTTTACATAAATCCTTAATATTTAATGATATATTTATTTTATAAGAATTTGTAATGCATTTTACTATGCCTATAAACAGTTAAATGGCGGAATATTTAAAAATATTTTAGTAATACTAAGTAGTTGTATGTTTCATGGTTTTTATCCTATATATGAAATCAGTATAAATATTATATCAATTTTTTAAATACATGTCTTTCTATATATTCCCTCTCTATTAATGCTTCAATTCTTCTTCTAATTATTGAACGATCAGGAATAAAATATGACGACAAATGTTTTATAGTTTCTTCTACTAAAGTATTATGATCTAATGTTTTATAGTATCTTCTTTTATTAGAATAAAAAAAAAAAAGTAATAATTACTTCATGATACGAATAATAGCCGCTTCTATTTGATATTTCCTAGATTCCTCTGTGTTTTCCATAATGCTTTTATGTTCCTGCTTTTTGGTTTTATCATTTGCTATAATCAAGATTTTTATTCTTTTTTTAGGAAAAGAGATATTTTGATTAAATAAAAATTTATCAGAAATTTCAATATTTTGCGAATTTGGATATTTTATTAAAATTTTATATTTTCGACAAATTAAAGATTTTAAATTTCTTGTAAGTTCTTGATTTGGTATTGATGTTGCTATTTGAATGTCCTGTACAGAAATTAATAAATGATTTAAATATTAACAAAAAGAATACCATGTAACTTAGGAATTCCTCTTCTTCAATATTATTAAATAAAAGTAAAATCATCATTGAATATGTAGATACATTTATTTCGTAAGTATTTGATTTAAGTAATACTTTTAAATCTGAATTTCCCTAAACGATATTAAAATAAAAATAATTAATTAAAGATTTATTAATTCCATATTCTCCTGCCATAAAAGTTGTCTTCCGTTATATCTAGAAAGATAAAATGATTCAAATGACTTTTTTACATTTTCAATTTGTTGTGGATAAATGCAAGTTAGATTATTATTCACTGTTATAGGCCAAAATGTTGATGTCAAAATAGCAATATTTAATTCAAAAGGAATTTTCTAATATATTCATGTGAAATATTTAAATTAAAAGAAAAAAATACCAAAGAATTTGATTTTAACATATTTTTATATTCTACTGTTATGTCTTTTGAAAGTTGAATATCTATGTAATTAATAATAATTAAATTATTACAGATAAATTTTTAAAATACCTTTAAACATTCCTTCTAATTTTGTTGTAAATTTACAGCCTGCTTCGAGTTTTAGCTTTGTAATCATATATTTTTCTGTATCATTTGATATTGAATAGGATTGTAAGAGTCTTTAAATACATGTAAGAGATAAATTTTATACGAAATGTTATTTTTATATAAATTACCGTTTTGCAAGATAATTTTTATAATATTTTTCGAAAATATCTTTGTCTTTAATATATTGGAATAAAGTAATGGCTTTATCTAAAACAATATTTATATCATTTTCTGGAATCTATAAATTTTTAGTTGAGTTTTATTCTATTTCATGAATACCTTTTTTTTTTTTAGATTTTCATCAATAAATATAGATATAAATTCTATAGATCTAGGATTTGTATTTATGTTTTTAGAAAATGCCTATTAATATTAAATTTATGTAAATGAAGAGACATATAGTTACATCACTGATAGTATTTTGAATGTATTTATTCCCTTGAAATGCTAATTTTAAAATTTTATTATACTTATCCTTAAGTAGAAGAATATTATTAACCCAAACAAATGCATATGTTGTTATTAAGGTTCCTTTAGTTCCCGTGTTTCCCTTTTTATTTAATAAAAACATGTTATCAACTTTAGAATTTATAATTTCTCCAAGTTCAATAATTTTACTAAAAATGTTTTCTCTTAATTCGGTCAAATTTGGGTCTACATTGACAAATAAATTATATAAGCGATTTAGATCATTTATTTTTTCATTATCTAGCATGAAAAAAAGGCCAGATGACTTCATCTTTTTGCTAATTAGTAAAAATATTGAATGATATTTTAATTACTTTTATTATTGTACTCATATTCTGCAAAATCATTTCTTCTTCTACAATACGTTTTATTTTCGACTCAGTTTCAAGTGGGAGATAATTGCTAGCTCTATTATGCTCTTCTTCTAGAATTTTTTCGCATTGAATAAGATATTCATTGGCATCTAATAATTTTAGAAGTCTTTTACTTTCTTTAATATAAAACTCTCGAGTTTCTAAAAGAATATATGTCTCGAGATCTACTTCAAAAACGGTTTTAGTCGTATTTACTTTATCAGGAAGAGTATTAAACATATTTATACATGATTTAATCGATGATCTGTCTATTGTATTTCCTTGACGTTCCATATGTATTTGGTTTAGTATAATCGTAACAACACATTGTCCAAATGCTAATTCTTCGCATTTTATGATATAATCTCTGAAAAGCAAAATACTTATGTCATAAATTTGTAGTTTATTCGCTTGTTTTGTATAAACTTTGTCCTGTTAATCATAAGGATAGAAATACGTACGTTTCACATATGCATTTACCAAATATTTCATTATATGAGATATCATATTCGTACAAAGAATGTATTCATTCCAAACATTTTTTAGAGTTTGTAGATAATAAGAGTTGGCCTCTATAATTTCAATATCTGTTATATCTACTTTATTTAGTGCCTTGATTTTCTTATATACAGGTTGTATTTCAAATTTTAAAATATTTTCTAAATGTTCTTGTATTATTGATTTTATTCCATCGTATAGTTTATCCCCTTGCTTATGTAAAACAGAATTATATACATTGCGATATAGTTCTTCAAATGATAATACATATGAGTTTTTTTTATATATATCCCTAATTGCTTGTGAAAGAAAATTCCAAGATATATTCCAATCATATTCTAACGCTTCTTTCTCAAACTAGTTATATTTAGTTTTTCATAATTTTGTGTATCATTTTTACTTTTTTAGGGGTTTTTATTTTTGGTCTTTGATTATTATTCATTAATTTTTGTTATATATGTTTTTAAAATTAATAGAATAATCTGTTATTTTATAAATTTGGTATAAAAATTTGATTAGATGTAGATAAATTGATTTCGAACGTTAAATTATTTTAAATGAAATTATTCAGGTAAATTTTCAAGTATGAGATTAGGATAATGTTTTGATTTTTAAAGTTAATATTTTGAAAAAAAAAAATAAAAATATTAATGTTTTTTTATTTAAAAAGAATTAATATATCAAGAAAATTTGAAAATAAACATTTTTTCATAAAAACGTTAAATAGTATCTTGTTTTTTCGACAGAAAGATTTTGGCACTTTAAAATGTGGATATGAGGAGACTCCTTCATATTTCATTACTTTTACATGTCAGAGGTTATATTTTTTTATTTAGTATATGTTTTTTAATTTTTATTTTAGATGTTCAAGCAGAACAACACATAGAATGACAAAACAAGCTTATCATAATGGTACTGTAATTATTCAATGTCCTTGTTGTAAAAATCGTCATTTGAGTATGTTAATATTGAAAAAATTGCTTAAATTTAAATATTATCTTAGTTTCTGATCATCTTAAGATATTTTCCGATAAGAATATTACTATTGAAGATATTATGAAAGAAAAAGGTGAAAAAGTTTGTAAATATTATGGGGAAATTGTAAATAATCAGGCTACAAAATCTGTAGATAAGGATATTAAGTTATTTTTAGAACGACCAAAAAATGAATAATATCTTAGTTTATAGTTATATATTAACATAATTTATTAATAAAATAAATAGAAACATTAAGATATATTCTAAATGTGTTTATAAATATTAATAAAGATAAATATAATACTTGTTAAGCTAGATATATTTTTGATTTAGATATTAATATGTATTTTTATTTAGCACATATATTTTAAAAATTATTTTTGTATTATTTTTTATTTAGAAATATTAATATAATTCAGATTTTTGTTTTTTTTAGTATGTTCTTCTTGTTATATTTTAGTTGTGTTTTTTATATTGTTTTTTATTTATCACATACTAATTTTAACAAATTTGTGTTTTAAAAATATATTCAAGATAATTTGTTAATTTGGAATTTTATAAAAAATAATTTTAAAAGAGCTGTTTAATTTTGAATATTTTTAATTAGTTTTTATTGTAAAACTATTAATAGGAATTCTTATAATATTTTTTAATATAATTTTAAAGTTATTAATTTTGAATTTTAACTTATAATTTGTTAAAAATAGATAATGATCAATTCTTTGTTTAAATATTTATATAAGGTTTTAGAAATATATCTTTAAGAAATAATCAAATATAAATGTTTTATTTTTTTAATATTCTTTTTGGAAAAAAAAAAATAAAAGTTAGTTTATTCATTTTAGAATATTTTTTGTAGTTATAGTTTGTTTTTAAAAATAGTTAGTACTTTTATAAAAGTTTATAAAATATATAAATCTTCAAATAAAGATGTAATTTGTTATAATTTAAATAGGTCTTAATATCGAAAATTAGATATATGTTTGTAATATTTTTATTTAAGACTAAAGTTTTAAATTTTTATTCTTTATCTAATATGGATATTTTAATTTATCTTTTATAATTGTTTTTATTAAGTTTTCTTTAGAAATTATTTTATAAAGTATAAATTTAAATTATATTATTATTTCTTAGATATTATTTGTATAAAATATTTAGATATTAGATTTTACGTTTTGAATATTTTTAAAATATAAAAAATGTTTTTATAAATTATTTCATTTTTATTATAAAAATAATATCTAATTGATTGTAATTATTGCCTTTTTTAAATTTTATTTATTAATTTATAAATTATTTTAAGTTTAAAATATCATTGCGATTTTATTAAAAAGTGTTTGATCTAATTGTTTTTACATATATTTAATTTTATGTTTATATATATTATATTGTTATAATTTTGTAATTAATATACTAAGAAAAATGTGGAAAGGCTATTCCATTGATTATTTTGAATTATATATTTATTTATAATATTTATGTTTTAATAAATAATTTTTAAGTAAAAAAAAGCATATTTTTTTTGTGCATCGAATAAAATTTACCCTTGATTTTTGTTATTTTTTTTTTAAAAATGGCCCAAGCCGTAGCGTTATGGGGCTGTAAAGTTGAGCCAGGAAAACGTGTTCCTGCTCATGATAATGAGGATACAGCTGGTGCATTTCGTTTAACTATGGCTGCCATCGATTCATCTGATAAATCTTTTAAATCTTCTACCATAAAAGTTATTCGTAGACCAAGGTTCCATGGCGATGATGATAATATTGATGATAGTGATGATATTTCTGAATCTGATCTTAAGGAGCTTGAAGTTGAGTTTGTACTTTGTACCTTAAAACATGGCGATCAATATCAACAAAGTTTGGACTTGACATTTAGTGCGGATGAAGAAGTGTTTTTTACTACTAGTGGAGATTGTCCTGTATATCTTACAGGTAATCATGTTATTCTTTCAGGTAATTTTTTAGAATCAATTTTTATATATTTACATTTAATTAGACTTTGATGATTATGATATTTCTTCTGATGAGGATGAGCTTTTTGATAAATATTCAGATGATCTTGATGCTAATGATTCCGAATCTGGTGAATTAGATGATGATAGTCCTAAAATTGAAGAGCTTTCGTCGTCTGAAAGTAAAGTTTCTGATTCAGAAAAAAAGATAAATTTATCAGACAATGGTTTAGATGATCTAGATGATTTAGATGATTTAGATAGTGTGTCAAGAAATAATAGCAATAAACAGGATATTTCTAAAAAGAGAATTTTAGATACTGGTGACGTCGATATTTCAAAACTTAGTAAAAAACAAAGAAGAAAATTAAAACTTAATTCTGATAAATCTTCATCTGAAGCAAAAGGCGAATCGAATGTTTTTTCGAAAAATAATAGTTCGGAATCTCGTAATTTTCAGAATTCTAAACCTAGTGTTAGCTTTGCTAAGGATCTCGATCAGTCTTCTACTAAAACATCCAAATCTAAAGTATTAGAAGGAGGTGTGGTTATTGAGGACAAAGTAGTAGGCAAAGGTCCTCAGGTGAAGGATGGATGCAGGGTTTTTATTTTATTTTATTTTGTTCAAAATTAATTCTATATATTATATAGGTCGGGCTGCGTTATATAGGGAGACTTTTAAATGGGAAACAATTCGATTCTAATACTAAGGGGAAGCCTTTTACTTTTGTTGTAGGAAGTGGTGAAGTTATTAAAGGTAATTTTTCTTTGTATTTTTTTTTTTTTTTGATTTAAAAAGGATGGGATATTGGTATAAAAGGGATGTCATTGGGTGGCCAAAGACGTATTACAGTTCCCTGTTCTATGGCTTATGGAAAAAAAGCACTTTCAGGCATTCCAGGTAGTAATATATGTTTTTATTATATTTTAGAACGTTTATTTGTTTTTTAGCTGGTTCTGATCTTGTTTTTGAGGTTAAACTTGTAAAGATGAATTAATTGTTATCGGGTTTCGAGTACTAATAGGAATTATTTATATTTAAATTGTTAATATTTAAATATAATTTGTAATAAAATATTATTTATAGTTTATATTTTTGTATAAAAATTAAAAATGTTTATTAAAAGTTTTTATTAATATATAATTATATATTAGTTCTTGATATTTAGAGATTTTTGAAATTAGCTATAAAATGTTTTATTATTAAAATATTTGAAATTTAAAAAATAATTGTAGCGATATTTTAATATATAAAAATGACTAAAAAACGTCTTTATTTTGAAGTTTTCGGAAAGGTTCAAGGTTATAAATTTTAAATAAACTTAATAAAATTATTGATTATTATAGGTGTATATTTCCGTAATCATATAGTTGAAAAAGCAAAATCTTTGTCAATTGTGGGATGGTGTAGAAATACCGGTTAGATTTTAAAGTATTTTTACTATAAGGCTAATTTTGGATAAGCAAATGGTTCTGTTGAAATAGAGGCAGAAGGTACAGAGCAAAATTTAGATATATTTAAGAAATGGCTACAATATGAAGGAAGTCCTCTTAGCCGTGTAGACAATATGATAGTAAAAGAAATTAGCGTTATAAATAATGAAGAGTGTATGGTTCGTCTCAAAACTTTAAAATAAATTTTTAAATTTAAATAATGTAATACACTATTTTATTATGTATTTTTATAATATATTTATTCGTCATCATGGAAAACAGTTGCTTTCCCACTTAATGAAATGTAACGGGTTTTCTATAATGATATTAATATTTTCTTGGAGAGTTTAAAATGAAATACATGTGTTTTTCCAAGTTCATTTAATTTTAAGAAATCATCTTCTGGCAGTTCAGAAACTTGAAGATTACTTGTAATTCGTGAAGGAGTTACTGATTTTGGTATTACAGATGTACCCCTTTGTATGCACCAAGAAAGAATGACTTGTGCTTCTGTCATTTTATTTTTATTTGCAATTTCTTTAACCACTGGTTCTTCTAGAAGTGGTGTACCTGTAGAACCGAACGGCGAGTATGAAGTTAAATGAATTCCTTTTTTAATACAAAATTCAAGAAGCTTTTCTTGTGATAGATAAGGATGTAACTATTAAAGTTAAAATTGTTTTAATATTTTTTCAAAAAAATACCTCGCATTGGTTAACTGCTGGTACTACTTCAGCTATTTTCAATAGTTTTTCTAAATTCACAGTGCTAAAATTTGAAACCCCAATAGCTTTTACCTTAATGTAATTGGCATTTACATCTTTGCAATATATTATACTCAACCTTTCCTGTACTAAGAAGTTTCTCAAGTGATTTCCATGTTTTTAAGAAATCCCAATTTTCTTCAAAATCATAAGTACCATCTGATTTTTTTGGGAAAAAAATATGATTTCCATTTGGATTAAGGGAAAGAGGCCAATGCATAAGATAAAGATCTAAAGAATTATATTTAAGTTATTAAGATATGTATACATACCAACATAATCTAAACCCAATTTATTTAGACTTTGATCTAAACACTCTTCTGCACGAGAGTGAAAGGTAGATGCTCTAAGAATAAGTACAAATATATAATGAATCTAAAAATGAATTACAATTTTGTTGTTACGAAAATTTCCTCTCGAGGAATCTCACTATTTCTAATGCCTTGTCCTACCCCCTCTTCGTTTAAATACATAAAAGCAGTATCCTATTATTAATTAATAACAAAATTATAAATTTCTAGTAGTTCCAATATGGCGATATCCGGCTTTTAAAGCAGTTTCTACTGCGATAGAGACTTCTAATTTCTTATTAATAATTATTAATTTAAAATATGAAAGATAACCATCTGGCTTGGATTGCCATGTTCCTAGTCCTAATGCTGGAATATAATGGCCTGTATTTAACTATATAATTAATAACCGAATTAATTAATATGGTTATGTTACTCTGAATAACTTATTAAAAACCATTTTTTTGTAAAATGATAAAATTTTTTTTTCAAAAAAATAGGTACTAAATATTTTAAATATTATTTTTGTACTAAAACGTAATATATATATATATAGTTCTAAAATATTATTATTGATATACTTTATATTTAAGATTAATTAAATAAAATTGAATGCTTTACTAAAGAAATTTCTTGTTGAAATTCCAAAAGTGTTCGAAGTTCCCACCATATAAAAATGAGTTCCAATAGACTAAAAATGCAAGTCAAAAAAATAATAGTATTAATAAAAAAAAGAAGAAATGTAATATATATATTATGAGACCAAAAGACTGAAATGTGCAAGCCAATTATTATAATAATAGATATGAAGAAATAAATAGCTTTTAAATAAGAGTACTTTTTTATTTGATTAATATGGTTATTGAATTCTTGCTGTATAATTTCTAAGTCCTCAATCTTAAGTTTATTAGGATTAGAGTTGTTTGGACTATTCATGAGTTCAATAAGAGCATCAATTCCGAAATGATCAGAGTATGAACAGTTTAAGGAAGGTATTATTTCCGTAAAAGCTAACTTGACGTATTTTACTATGAACCAAGATGTATCTATAAATATATAATCTAGTCTTTTTGCTTCACATTTTCCCGGTGATTTTTTCCATTTCTTCATCCTCCATGTATTTATAGGTGAATCACATGTAAAACATAATTTTTCTATAGTTTTCTCTTGATTTAATGTTTTTTTATTATACTGATTTTGATCTATGTTAATGTTCCATGAATCTGAAATCGAACCATTAAAAGAAATAATTTTGTAAATAATACTATCTGGTTTTGAATTAAAATCTCCAACCTTTAAAAATAGTTAATTATGACTTTAAAAGCAGATAATTTACAATAATTGTTATTTTTCCTGCTGTAAAAGCAGATAATATTAATTTTGAGATTTCCCATGCCTGTGATATTCTATGACATAAATATTCATCATTTTCTCCTCCGTAAGATGCATGAAGCTATGAAATAATTAATTAGGTAATTATATTGATTGTTTTTTAACATGTGTATTAAAAAATTCAATTTTTTTTCCATTAGGCATTAAAAGTGTTGCCATTGCTACACCTTTTCCCACATACCAATCTCCATGATAAAAAGCGCCTGGTCTACCATTTAAAGAATATTTATACATTGAAGTTGATTCAATTGGGAATTTAGAAAGAATAACAAGCCCTGATCCGAAAATACCACTAAAGTAAAATTTTCCATAAGGGAGTTTGTGCTTTGTGTTATTCCTCATGTTCTCGTAATCGGAATATACCCAAACTTCTTGAAGGCCTACTATATCATAATCTTCTGATGCAATACGTTTAGAAATAAAATCAAGACGTTCTTTGCGATAATTTGATATGTATTTTAATCCCCTATTGTGGTATTTAATTGTACAATGTAGTTAATATGTAAAGAATATTACCAGCAATTTAATGATAAAATTCTAATCTCTTTGCTCATTTTAGTTTTTTGTTGAATTTTTTCGATTTTTTAAAACTGATTTTTTCATTAAATGAACGAAGACAATCAGCCTTTAGCAAAAAGGATAAAACCCGAACAGAAGCTTTCAATTTCTCTAGATAATACTTCCACATCTGTATCTGATAATTGCAATTTTAATATTATTCCAAGAATTTCAAATTATACATTAAGATATTCATTAATAGGGCACAAAAAACCTATATCTAGTGTTAAATTTAGTCCTGATGGGAAATGGTTAGCAAGCTCTGGTAGGTTATTTTTGATTTACATTCGTAGAACTGATGTAGTTATTTAGCTGCTGACAAATTAATTAAAATATGGAACGCATTAGATGGAAAATTTGAACAAACTCTTGAAGGACATTTAATGGGTATTTCTGATATTGCATGGGCATCTGATTCGCAATCATTAGCATCTGCTAGTGATGATAAAACGATTCGTATTTGGAATTTAATGACCGTATTTAAATTGATTATGTTTTTCTGTATTTTTAAAATTTCTGTTTTAGGGAACAACAATAAAAGTGTTGAAGGGACATACAAATTATGTATTTTGCATAAATTATAATCCTCAAAGTAATTTAATTGTTTCTGGATCTTTTGATGAAAGTATTCGTATATGGGATGTTAAGAAAGGTTTCATTTTTTAAAAGTGCTAGAAATTTTAATAAAAAAAAAAGGAAAATGTATGAAAACTTTACCTGCACATTCTGACCCTGTTTCTGCTGTCCATTTTAACAGAGATGGCACAATGATTGTTTCCTGTAGTTATGATGGTTTAATGTTAGAAACTTAAAACTTGCTGTTGTATTATTGATAATTATAGACGAATATGGGATACTGCAACAGGACATTGTTTGAAAACTCTTGTTGATGATGACAACCTTCCTGTTTCATTTGTTAAATTTTCTCCTAATGGAAAATATATTCTTGCTAGTACGTTAGATAGTACTCATAAGCTTTGGAATTTTCATAATGGAAAATGTTTGAAAGTAAACTTCAACCGATTTGTATTTTTGAAAATATTTATAAATGTAGACATATCAAGGTCATATTAATAAGAGATACTGTATGCTTGCTTCATTTTCTGTAACTGGAGGTAAATGGATGTAAATAGAATCTTAGGTATGATGATATAGTCTAACATCTAAAGTATTAGTGGCTCTGAAGACAATTTGATTTTTATATGGGATCTTCAATCTAAAAAAGTAGTACAAAAATTAGATGGACATTCTGGTATAATATGATATAATTTATGTTATTAATTTAGAAATATATAGATGTGGTAGTTTCTGTAAGTACACATCCTGACCATAACATTATAGCTTCGGGATCTCTTGATAAAACGGTTAATATATATTATGACTCCTAATTTTTTAACATTATGTTTTGTATACAATTTAATAATTTACAACACTGCTAGTTTGATTTTACGAATTCTAGTCCTGTAGCTTTTCCTTTTTTTTTTAATCTTCTTACAAGGAAATATGCATTTTTTATACAATCATTAACACCAATACCTCCATAGAAATTTCCAACAAGAGATAAATTACCTTTATATGTATTATAAACGTAATTGTGAATATTTTTAAGATCCTGATGATGCCCAAGATTGTATTGTGGTATAGAATTTTTTTGGAGTTTATAGTTAACAATAACAGGTGTATCCTTTATTCCCAAATGCCTTGAAATAACATTTCGTGCTAATGCAATAAACTCACTTTCTTTAGGGAATATAGTTTTATGCTTCCAAAAACTTCCTCCTATCATTACTGTCATTTTTGTTCCTTTGTATGTGTCTAATTCGGGAAAACTGTTACTATCAAATATAACACCTAAAGCCTGCTCTGGATTTTCCTCTTCACTAATTGATTTTGGAATAAGATATCCAAATCCTTGAATAGGCAAAAGATTTGGATTATCAAAAAAAAGATTTACGACTAAAATTGTAGTGCTTGAAAAACTTTTTGTTAGTTTTTTAAAAGGATCAAGTAGCTTTGTAAGAACTTGAATTGGTAATGCTGATATCAAATGGTCAAAATAAAATTCTGATGTATTTGTTTTTATCTATTACTATCAATATTTTTAGGATTATAATGTAAAATTTACTTTGAATATATTGTTAAACTCAAGTGATTTAATCTCAGAATTAAAATATATGTGAACATTATCCCTAGTAAAAAGATCATTGGATATAGCATTGCTAAGAGTACCTAATCCATTTTTAAATGAATATATATATGTGTTTTTTGTTTTTTTTATAATATCTTCTGAATCTTTTTCAATAGTTGATTTTATATTTTCTTCATTTTTATTTAGAGAAATTCTATTAAATAAAACTCCTTTTAAAACGCTACCATAAAGTTCTTCATAATTCCACAAATGTGGAAAAGTAGATTTAATACTTAAATCATTAATATCTCCTGCATATATTCCATGTATAAAAGCACTAACTAAATTTTCAGAAATTGATGTGTTGAATCTTCTTGATATAAAACTAGAAATTGTTTCATCTGAAATGTTTTTGTTTCTAATTGGTTTGAATGGTTCGGATATTATTGCCCATAAAAAAGAACGCAAAATTGGTGTTTTCGATATAAATGCCGATAATAATGAGTTGGGAAGAGCGTTTAATTGATTTTGGAAGTATATATATTTGTTTTTAATTAATGGTGAATTTTTTGGTACAAGAATCATTTCATTTATTAAATCTAATTTTTTTATCTATATGTTAGTTAACTTAAAATTAATTTAAAATATACCATATCAAGAGTTATATATCCAGAAATTCCAGTAGGTTTAAGAGATCTCGGACCTTCTTCAAAATATATTGTACCGCGAGAAGAGTCAATCTTTTTTGTATTAAGTAATCCTCCAAGTCTATTTGATGATTCAAGGATAGTTATTTTGGTGGATGGGGAAAACAAACGGGAAAGATACCATGCAGTAGACAGTCCAGAAATTCCACCCCCTAGTTAATTTTAGGATTTATGGTAATAAAATATATAATAGACCTAGAATCCCTATAGATTTGGATGATAACATAGTGTTTATCTTTTGTGTATAATATTGTTATAAATAAGTTAGAATATAAAAAATTAAATAATTAATTAGATTTTATAAAAATCATACTAATTGAATAGTTTTACCATGGCTGAATTGTATGAAAATCATAATAATTTTTAAGATTTTAAATTATATTTGGACGAAAAAAAATAATGTATTTTATTTGATAATATTATTTAAAAAATATTCTATAAAATACTTTTTTTTAATATTTGTTTAATAGGATATAAATAGGTCATGTTTAGACATTTTGTTTTTAATAAGATATATTTAGGTTTATCATATTATATTTTTTGTAAAATAACTATTTATTTTACTTATATCTTAAAGATTTTAAATTAATATGTATATAATAACATTTAAAATAATGTCCTTTTATAAATATATTTATATTGATTCAATGAGTTAAAATGAGTAATTGTATATTCGATTTTTTGTAAATAGTATAAAGTACATGAGATTACTAAATATATATTTAAATATATATTTGTATTCAAAACTTTAAAATATTTGGTTTTTATTATAAAAAAATAATGTATTTTGAAATGTTAATATATATTTTGAATATTTTAGTACGATTTGTGTATCTTTATAAAAAAATATTTAAACATATATATTTTTTTCTTGAGGTGTTATATATGTAAGTATTATTCATTTTAAAATAAATATATAAAAGGTATATATAACATAATCTAAATTTACATTTGTAAACGTAAAAAAAATATAATTTTATGTTTTAATAAAAAGGTTATCATACTGATAGATTGTATTATTAAATGTACTCTTTAAAAAATAGTTATTATTACTATATATATGAAGTTTTCTTAAATATATAATATAAAATGATGTAAAAATAATGTTAGTTTTTTAGATTTTTAATTGAAATATTTTTTTTATTTTGTTTTTTTTATTTATGGTTGCTATGGTATCCATTTTTTGTCGTTTTCATAATAAACAATTTGAATTTGTCTAAACGTTTTCATCTACTAGAATTTTACTAGGTTTTTGATTAAAATTTCGGAACTTTTTGAGTCATTGTATTTTGAAATAGTTATTTTGGTATATTTATTTTTTACAATATAGAAGAATTTAGTTTTTTCTAATTTATTTTTTTATTTTTATTTTTTTGTAAGGAATTTTTGGTTTTATTTTATTAATTTGCTTATCTTTTTAAGATATTTTCATAGTATTTGGCACTCTTTGTTTAATTTTCTTCAATATATTTTTCATGATGATAGTTTGAAGATTATTATTCTATGTGGTGGAAAATATAATAGATATTTCATATATGGATACTTCACCTCTTGCTTCTTTTTGTTTTTCCGGAAATCAGAATTCTTGTATGACATCGATATCAGGGCATAATGAAATTGACAAATCTAATTTTATGATTTCCGGGAAGAAATATACTGATAAGAATAATAAATTCGGTATGATTAACTTAAAACAATCCTCTAAGAGTGGAAATAATGGTACATGCTTTGATACTGGATCATTCAAAATGAGTCCTACAACATCACTTGTAGCAGAACTTTCTGGTAATTTTTATATTGATAAAAGGTATGTTGTAATGTATTATATATTTGCTATTCAGTTGGATATAGCCCTGTTCCACCTACTCCAAGACGTTCTCTTTTGTTTAATTTTTCATGTGATCACCAATCAACACCGGTATTGAATTTTTTAAATGATCCTATTACTCCTAAATTCGACTCATTAACTATGGGAAATATTAATATAGTCACCCCATCTTCATCACCTATAGAAACTATGGATTATTCGCCATTACCACAAAAGCATACTATAGCCGCCTTTGGTACTGAGCATTGTGAAACTTTTGATGACCAGAATTTATGTTCATTTGTAAACTCAGAAACAAGGTATCTATATGAACTTTAATAAATGTAGTTAATAAAAATTATAATTAGGGATTATTGTGATATAAAGAATTCTAGAATACCTTTAGATGATATATCTAACTCTAATGAATTGAATAATAATATATTAGATTCATTATTTATGGCTAATGAAAATGTAATTTTATTTTTTTATTTTAACATCATATAATATTATATAGTCGAGGATAAATTCATCCGTTCTTGATACAGACTATGATAAAGAGAATGTAGACAATAATCAGATAAAGAATGATACTGAATCTTGTGATATTGCTTTAAATGATCTTTTTTCTAATTCACCAAATCCTACTCGGTTTTCTGTTGGAAATGTTGAATCTGAGTTTCTTCAGTCTTTTAAAAAACCTTTATTTTCTCGCTATTCTATTGCTTTAGAAGCCTCCCCTTTTCCATTTATGGATAATGATAATATGGATCATCGATTAGTAAAGTGGAGAAGAACACAAAGCTTATATCAGAATTCCTCTGACTTTTTTTCTACAAAGTATAAGGGACAAGATAATAGTGATTTATGTTTACAGTTATCTCCATTTGAATTTAACTCTAATGATTGTCAAATTTTGCCTTGTTTTAGTATTAAAGACGATCGCTTGAAAAGAATTGACAGTGATATAGTAAAGTTTATTAAAAATGTTATTATTTTTAACATTCATAGATTGTCCGATTGCTAGATGGACATTATCATGACCAATGTGATGAATATATAATTGTCGATTGTCGATTTGAATATGAATATAATGGAGGTCATATTATGGGAGCTATTAATATAAATACAAAGGATGCTCTAGATGCACTTCTTCTAGATAATCCGAAGACTAAAAGATGTTTGATTATTTTTCATTGTGAATATAGTTCACATCGTGCGCCAAGATTGTATGTTTTTTTTTTGATATATACATCATGATTAAGACAAAAATAGAGCATTATATTTAAGAAATAAGGATAGACAGCTTAATATGAAAAGGTATCCTCTTTTGTATTATCCGGAAATTTATATCTTGCATGGTGGCTATAGAAGTTTTTATGAAAAATATAAAGAAAGATGTGAGCCGCAGAATTATGTTGAAATGGATGATTCTTTGCATAAAACTGCATGTGCAAGAGAAATGTGTAATTTTCGAAGAAACACTAAATTTTTGAGAACTCTAACATATACATATAGTCAGACTGACGCAATTTATATGAACACTCTGCAAAAAGATGTAGAGTAACGTCCGTTATATATATAATGTTAACTGATTTATAATGCAAATCTATAAATCTTAGCCGTTATGCATTTTTTAAAAAAAAATGTAAAAAAAAATAAATGATTCTGTAAAGTTAATGAAATAATTTATAGTATTTTCCTAATTAAATTTGTGAAGACAAACGTTTAATAACGTTACATATAAATATTGCGAAATTAGGATTTAATACTGTTCGGTTTAGTTTCAATATACTAATTAATAGATATACAACTAGTAATATATTGCGATTATGTAGTCTATTGTTCATAAAATATAATAAATACAAATATAAATGTATTTTAATAGTAAAAAATGTTGGAGTAAAAAAATAATTTATATATATTTTTGTAATATATAACATTTATTATAATCATTAAATTTCTAAGTGTTTTGCTCATGAGTTTCGATTTCTGATAGATTTTTTGATTTTTCTATCTTTATGTTATATTGTGTATTAAACGTTATAATATACCTTGTTCTTTTTCAATTTGAATCTGATCAGATATAGCTTGTAGACTATTAATTGTTTCTGCAAATTGTGATTTTCTAGAATGCCATGTATTTATATATAATTTTTTTTCTAATTTTAAGTCATGAATTTCAGCGTGCAATTTATTAATAAGACTAAATAAAGTTATATAGAAATTAATAACGATTATATTTTACTCTTGTAATGTTTTCCGATCTTTAGGATGATCTGTTTGGATTTCATTTGTCAAATTGTTGTATTCTATCTTGTTTGATTTGATTTTTTGAATTTCATGAAGCTTATCATAAAGTTGGTGTATATTGGTTTTTGTAGTCAATATTTTTTTTTCTGAACAATTATTATAATACAAAAAGAGTATGAATTAAATAACCTATATCTATTTTTTCGTTAGAATAATTTAATGATTCTAATTTGTTTGTTTTCCATAGCAGTAATAATCGTTTTATGGTAAGTTCAAAATAAGTAAAATCTATATTAATTTGATTATCTAGTGATTTTCTACTTATTAAAATTTAAAAATAATAATATATGTGAACATACTGTAATTCACTAGACATATAAGGATGTTTTGTGATTGAAATACATCGTTTTAATATCTTTTTTAATGGTCTTTCTTCAATTAATAACCGATTTTTGATTAATAATTCTAAAATATTATTAATAATTAGATAGTTATGATGTTAAAATAATTTCCTTCGTCAAACATATTTTCAATGTCTTAAACCAAAATAGTAAGAAATAATAAAAATTGATTAAATTTTTGATTAGTTCTATTATTTAAAAAAATAATTTATTACGGACACATTAATCTAAAAATATTAATTTAAAAATAATTAGTATAACTGATAATTTATTATATATTATTTATGATTATATTTATTTTTTATTAAAATAATTGATATAATTTTATGTCAAAACTATTTAAAATATAATTGTTAATATAAAAATAAAGTATTAAATATAATATATATAATTATATTAAACTATATAAAATTTAATTTAATTTTGACAATTGTATATGATTTATATTATATTTTAATATTACTTTAAAAATTTAATATATAATTATTATTTAAATAAATAGCTAGTTTCTGAAATTAAAACTTATGAATTTAATATAATTATATTTTTTCATTGATATAAATGAAATATATAATATAAATTTATTATGACTAGTTTTAAATATAACCATTTACAAACATAAATAATTATATAATATTTTATTATTATTTAAACTATTATAAATAATGTAATACTTTTTAATAAACTTTATATAAATTTTATAAAAAAAATAGTAATTATTACTAATAATATATATTGTTATTTATAATATTATCAATATAAAATATTAATTTCAACATATTTTCAATTAATATGTTAATACATAATTAAACAAATTAAATATCTAATAAGTTAATTTAGAAATATCAATTTTAAAATATATAAGTTTATATTAATATTTTTAATATATTTTTTTCTATCAAGTTATAAAAAAAATATTATTAATTTACTAATTTAATTATTATAAATAGTCAAATTATATACGTTTAAAGAATTTATATCATACTAATAATTTGTATGTTATTTTTACAATTATTGAGCATTATGTATGTATTTAAAAGAAAATTAACCAATTCATTTTTTTTTTAAACATGTTATATAATAAAACTAATTTACATATCATTTATATACTTTATTTTGTTTTATATAACTCAATCAACAACAAAAAAAAATGTAAACAATAAAATATTCAACAAATCAATTCACGACTAAAGTTATAAAGATCGAACTTTAATGTATCTATATCATTTTGAAACATTTCAAAAACATTATCATCGATACAATCATACACAATATCATTAACACTATATTCAGAGTTTGTTAATTTAGGAAAAAAAATAGGATTTCTAATGGAATCAATTGCTAATCTTAAGTGCATTCTGAGCGCCTCATTCTCTTTTTCCAAAGACGATATACGTGTTTCTTTATTATATCAAAAACAATCAAACTATAAAAATTTACTTACCATAAACATCTTTCAAATTATTTATTATAGATTTTAATTTAATAGACTCATATTTATGCCCCTCTAACTCATTTTTTTCAGCCCGAAGCTCAGTAAGTAATCGAGTCATATCATCAAGTTCTTTTTCTATATCAGCATTGCATGCAAACTTTATTTCTTTTATTTCATTAACGACTGCATTAGTATGTATATGTTTTGCAGCAGTTGCATAACGTAGAGTCGAAAGACTTTCATCATAATCGGAGGGAGATATACAAGCCACCATAGCAGTCTTACTATTACCACCCAAACTATCAGAAAGTAAAAAAGTTAAAACCTAATCCAAAATTAAAAAAAAAAAAAATATTAAATCTTACAGAATCACGATATGGAATTATAGAACCAGATTTACCTTCAGAAAGATATGTTATAACACGGCCCAAACTTGTTAAAGATTTATTAATAAAAGCACCTTCTCTCAATCTTGAACCAGTAGAACCGGTTGCATATGCTCTTTCTGACCCAGCCAAGTCAATCAATCTATAATTCATTATAAGAATAACGATAAGAATAATATATACGCAACCTAAATAGAGAAGTTTTTTCAACAGTCTTTTTCTCATTTTTATCTAAATAAACTTGTTTTATCTTTATTGTAAAAATCGCATGAGAGCGACTAGATGTTTCATTCATACGTGTACTTGCAGTTATCCTTGCCTTTTTTTATCAATTTATTTGAAACTCAAAAAAATATAAAATACATTGTTACCCACTCGAATAAAAGCAAGAACATCATCAAAGCTAGTAACTTGAAATTCAGATAAATTTTCTAAATAAGGACCATTGACAGGACTTTCACGAACTTTCAAAGCCACTGGCTTCTGAATAACATCCCTTGCGGATAAAAGATCCATAGCAATTTCATTATAAATTTCATAATATGACACAGTAACAGTAAAACATATATCCATTTTTGAACGCTCTTCGATTTGTTCAAATAAATCTTTACATGCTAGTGGCATAAGTCCAGGATCATCCGAAGTACCAATCTTCCAAAATATATCAATTTAGATAATAAAAAAGCATAAAAATATCACCATCGAATAAGTTTTACCAGATCCAGTCTGACCATCTAAAATAAGATCAATCTCATATATTCTAAGAAGACAAAGATCATACAAGCAAAGATACAAGTATTATACCCTTCAAGAGAATGAGAAACAAATTCTTTACCTAAACAATCATATAAAGCACTTTGACCTGAAAAGTGTTTATCCATTTTATCCACAGACCATAAACATCTATCAAATGAAAATGTTTTGAATTCACGTATCCTCCTTTTAGAAGCCCTGGAATTAGAAGGGTCACTATCATCAGGACATTTAACAATTAAAGTTTGCCTATCATTTGTATTAACAGATACTAAACATTTTGCACCTCGAGTAATTTCTTTAAACATTATAAAAACAAACATTTCAAGGAAACAAATTACCTCTCTCATTAAGAGGCCTAACTCTAACAATAACCCTCACACTATTATGCCTCAAAGTTTCAGAAGATTGCTTTTTCATTTAATCTATATAGAAAAAGAACGTTAAACACAAAATAAAAACACGTGCACGTGACAATAACATATACACTAGTATCAATATTATTAATAATTAACATTTTCCATTATATTTTATACATAAATAAATATAATATTTTTCAAAAAAAACAATACATTTTATAATCATTAAAACTTTATATACCAAACACTCCAAAACAAAATACATACAAAAAAAATAAACAAAAAAAAATGAAACCATCTAATATTTTGCAGTCTAGCTACACGATTCATATTCTTAAATATACCATTTAACATAACTCTTGTACTAGAAAATTTGTCATTCTTTTAAGAAAATTAGAAAATTACATTATAATTATCATTACTTTTTTACCATTGAAGACAAAAATACAGATGATTCGCGAATTTCATCACCTATAGAAATTGTTATCTAGAAAATATTAACAATATAATTTTATAATGTATAATCCATGAATAATGGATAATAAAAATTATAACAAACATCTTTAAGAGTTTTAATTTTTGAACTTAAATGATCAATATCATATTCATTTTGATTTCCAGAAAACCCAAAACTATTACTATCATATTGTTGATCAAAATAAGAATGATATATATCTTGATCAATTTGTGAATACTTTGTTTTACTCAAACTAGATCTATTTTCTCGATGAAATAAACCATTGTATCTATAAATTAATCATAAACAAAATAAAACAGAAACTCTGACAACCTAGTTTTACTGCTCATTTCATCACATCAAATCTTTGTTTTATACCACAAAAATATTTCTTAAACAATAAAAAATAATATTTTACGGTATTAGTAATTTTAAGATTTATTAAGACCTTAATATATTCAGAAAAAAATGAACGCTACAAACTTAGAAATTTTAAAAGTATACACTTTTTATTATATCAATTCAATAAATTTATAGTATTAGTTTGGTATTTATGTCATATTTCCAATTGGAATTATGTATTATTTCGGAAGCCCGAGTTTTTATAGAAAATATGTAAACGAAGTACGGTATATCAATATGTTACATATTATTATTATTTACTAATACCAGTTAAGCTTTTGGCCACCTAAAGAAAAAACAAGTTGTTTACTAATAAATAAAAATGACAATAAAAGTGAACTATATCATTTAAAAACATAAAAACAGCAAACAGAAACTTATAGAATTTCTCAAGAAAATTCATAAGAATCAATGTTTTCAAGAGTTTCATAATTAATATAATAATAATATATATACTCAATTACGAATATTTCAAGCTATGTGAAGTTTTAAACAATAAAAACTTTATAAATATCAAGTTCACTGTTGTTTTTTTTTCGTTATTAATCAATAAATATAATCATAATTACTTTCAAAAGAAAATTCAGCATAATATCAAGTTTTAAAATCCATAATAAATAGGTATTTACTATTTCATAAAAACTTGATTTTTTTTCTAGAATTATCTTATAAAAGAAAAAAAATGCCTTTATAGATTTTTATTATAAATTATAAAATTATCTCAAAAGAACAATTATGAATTGAAATGGTGATTATAACGCAATCATTATTTTTTATCTTTATAAGATATTTTATCCTTATAATAATTTTTATTCATATTTTACTGAAGTTATATTTATTTAATATATATATGTATCTATAAATTTATTAAAATCTATTACAATAAAGAAGAATATAAGTCTATCTTCCAGATCACTATTTCCGGTAATATTTCATAAAAACGAGAAAATTAACTAATTATTTTAAATACTTTCCCAATAAAAATCATTTAATAAACTATTCAATATATTTTAAGAAAAAATTCAATATAATACGACATACCTAAAAATGTCCAGAAACATGGCTATATATATTATTCATGCTAATTTTTAACAAATTAATAATTTTATTCATATTTTTTTATAATTGTCGCATATGACCAAAAAAAATTGAAAAAAAAATCAATATATATATAACTCGTACATTTTTACTATTAAATTTTACAATATTTAGAATAAATTTAAGTTATAAATGGCTATTTTTCAAATTGACTTAACAAAATTGGAATGTATAAGTAAAGAGGAAAAGGAATTCATCCTTTTTAATATTCTACTGGAAATATCAGAAGAATTAGAAAATTTCGATTTAGAACAATTAAATATAAAACAAACAGAAATACTTCAAATACTTTTTCAAATCATAAAGCCGGAAATCTTAGTCCCTTCAAGAATAATACGTAATCAATTAGGTCGTTGTTTCCAAATATTTTTTTCCAGAAGTAAACCTTAAAATATAATATAGAATACTTTTAACTAATAATAGGTAATTCCATTTCAATATTCAGCGCTTTCAATATTTTACTCGAAAATATTTTATTACCAAAAATAGAAGATTATGATTTACATATTAAGTGGTTTTTCACCTTTTTATTTATTTAATTATCTAATTATTAAGGACATCATTAATTGTTCTTAAACATATTTATATAGCATCTGAAAATAAGGTATTTGTCATTTCATTTTATATAAACAGTATTTAACAATATCAGCTATCAATTCATCTAAATGACACTATAAATGCAGCATCTAAAATATTTAAAATTTCAAATAATGTAATTTTATTGCATATATTATTTCCTTTTAATTTATTTAAGATTATTGAACTTCGCGAATCTTGTTTCGAAACATTGTCAGTAGCTCTAAATTCTTGTAAATCTATCATAGACGAAAGCAAAACTAAAAAAATATTCAAATTTATAAAATTAGGTTTGTCAGATAAAACGTATATAATAAAATTAAAAGCATTAATGGTAATATTTTTTCTGTAATAGAAAATCTATTTAAATATATACTAGTGCTTCAAAGAACTTCTTAAGATTTGTGTACCAATTTCAGGCTGTACGGATATCTATACTATTAAAAATATAACTACTAAATTTATCAATAATCCTGTTCTTTCTGTTCATGATCAAGCAGCAAAAGTTCTGGCTATAGCACTAATAACAAATTCAACATTAAATACAAAGGATTCTAATTTTTTATCAGAAGAAAGTAAAGAAATACAATCAAATGATAGCACCGAAAATGAAGTATTACCAACATCACCTAAAAAGTACATATATTCTAATTCAAACTCAAAAAATAAATATATATTTTATTTAAAATATATATCAGATATTTACGCTAAACATATAACAGATCCTCACATAGAAAGATTTATTATAAGTATATACTTAGAGTTTTTAGAGCATTTTGAAAGAGAATGGATTTTAAGTCATTATAAATTTTTTATCAAAAACCATATATTTGATATCGCTTCTTCAATTAATAATATCAAAGATAAACAAAAAATTTCAACAACTAGAAATATCATTTGTCGTTTTTTAAGTATTTTAAGGAAAAAACTGGACGAAGAATCGCAATTTAGGGCATTGAAAATACTAAACGAAGAATATATAAGCATATGGCTTGACAAATTAGGCTTTACTCAAGCAAAAAAAGTTGTCCTAACAAGTATATTATCTGAAATATCAAGATTTATTTTAACCCTTAGCAATATTATTAATACTATTCGTGTAAGTATAAAAATGTGTAATAAAAAATTATAATTTTTAAAAAAGGAATCATTAAGAGATAATCTCTTATTCATACTAAATTGCACAAGTCTAACAATTCAAAAATATGCAAGCTGGTGTATTAAATGTTTCGCAATTACCATTCCCAATGATATAACATATTTAATGATTTTTTGCTTAAAACATATCAAAGAATTCATATCTGCAGATATTAACAATATCGACTATCTTTTAAAATTGCGTATAAGGGGATATGCTCTTGCTCTTTCGAGATTAATTAGTATTGGAAAACAAAATCCTTTATATATTTCTTCCGACATTTTCTCAGAGATATTTTTAATATCATGCTCTATTTTGAAATTAATAATAAATAATCCAATACATACTATATTAATACATGTACAAATAGCATGGACACTAATTAGTTCATTAATGAAACTTGGGTCATCTTTTGTTAGGGGTCATCTATCTGAATTATTTTTATTATGGAAAGACACACTTCTAAACCCCTCAATAAATAATCTTCCCTCGGAAACAAATCAATTAGAAACTTTATTTCTATTGTATACTCGAGAATATGCATTAGGATCTATATTTTCTTTTTTATTGCACAATAAGGAATTATTAACAACAAACGTGTTAAAAAAAATAAGTTTTATGTTAAATGAAACAAATGCAGTCCTTATTCTTTTTTCAAAAAGACAAAAAAATAGTGTATTTTTAGATGACAATGTTCAATTATCACAAGAAATGCTAGAAAACATGATTCATAAAAGGATACTACAATGCTATCTACTTATTATATGGAAAAATCCTGAAGATAATACACAAAGTGAGCTCATATCTCGTCTAATCACTATTTTTGCTGGCCCATATGTTACTATAGCTAAAAACACATTGAATTATCAATCTTATTATTTAAATTCTAGTCAAAATATTGATGGGATATCAAGCTTTATTCATTTACAGAGTTTTTCAAATTATCAAGAAATCTGTAAAATTAATAATATTGTGCTTCAAAATTATATATATGTTCCAAAAGATTATGCTCTTATCAATATTAAGAATAATTCGGTAATTTTTCTTTTAAGTAAACTTTCTGATTTACATTTTTAGAACTTCGATTCACAAAAAAACAATTCATTGCAAGTTTATGATATTTTATCATCTTTTGATGAAATTCCATGGAATCAACTCTCTATTTATATAGAAATCATTGACTTATCAATCCTATTGTTTGGGATTATTTTTCTAAATCAATCAAATAAGATTAAAGAAAGCATTCTTGAACAATTAATTACATTTATTACATTATCATCTAATATTAAACCTTTTCAGGAAAAAATTGCAGTAATTTGTAATTCAAATTTAGCAGTTCTCGGAATCCTTCGCTTTATAGAAAATAATATAAACCAAATAAATAACTTAAAAAATACAAGAGCAATCGATCTGATGGAACAAATAGCTAAGGTAACTAAAAAAATCAGTTATTTTTTTGACTGTATAGCATGGTACAAACTCACAAAATCCTGCTATTAAAAGAATCTCATGTGAAACTATTGGAAGATTAACATGTTTACAAAAGAAACAACTTCTACCTTCTATAAAATTTTACATAAGGAAGATTATCGAACTGAACAATTCGGATATTCGTTCTGGTAGTGCTCTTTGTTTAGGTAGAATATTAAATCATTATAAGATAAAGGTACCTAGTTCATACATTAGTAAAATACTAGATATTTTGCAATCTTTAAGTATAGACCAAAATTCTGAAGTTTGTTTTTGGGCCCTTGAGAGTATAGCTATTGGCATTCAATCTTTTGGACCTAGTATGTCTTCATATTGTTTGAATATATTAAATGTTATTTCAAAAATATATAACAGGATGGACTATAATATTAACAACATCTCAATAACTATATCTAATCTGTCATTAAGATTTCAAATATTATGCAATTTAACAAAATGTTTAAATGCAATCGTAAATATATTTGGTCCAGATCTTCAAAAAAATACTGAAGCAAAAAAACTAGTATCTGTGTTAATAAAAGGTCTTCTTTTAGAAAATAATGAAGAAGTATTAGCTGAGGCTATATATTGTGCACAGCATATTTTACTATTTTCATCTGATTTATTAAATCCATATTTATTCGTAAAACTTCTTCAAACAAATATGATGTCAAAAAATAAAAATTTAGCTAGAGCATCAGTTAAATCACTTTACCAACTTATGCAACATGATACATTAAGCGTTTTTAAATGGGGAGAAAATGATCTAGATGCATGTATATGGTTAGCATATGATTCAAATCCTGAAATTGAAGAACTAAAAAATATCATTGAAATATGGTTATATCATACATCAGATTCTCTACAAAATTATTGGATTCATCTTTGTTTAAAAACATTTGAAAGAAAATCTTCTAATAAAATTATACAAAAAAATAATAAAAATATTAATAGAAATTTAAAAAATGAAGAATCTATATTTAAAATAGACGAAAACTATAATTCCAATAATATTCAAGAAAAATTAAAGAGATTGCGATGGAAAACACAAAAATTAATACTTCAGTGCATCAATAAC